GTAGTATCTTCTTAGAACAAGGCACCCATCACCTGCCACTTGTATGGGCCCAGCAAAGTATCAGTGTATCCTAGGCCTCTAGGTCCCTCAGCACCTGCCATGTGCTGAGGCCCAGGCCAGTTTCCTGCATCTCCACAGACCTCCTAGGGCGAGGCCCCTAGGGGGAAGAGAACTCTCCACAGTGTCCCCAGACCTTTTATTACCTGCCCTCCACCATGTCTCTGAGTCATCCTACTCAGGGATTGGCTAGGGTCAGGTGCATAGTCATAACCTGAGGGTGGATCCTCCCTCACTGTATGCCAAGGCTCCCTTTTCCTCAGCAACAGGAGGAGCAATCAATCCAGCAGATTCAGGGACACCTATAGAATGCAGAGCTCTGTATAATCAGTATCTGGACTGATTACAGTCCAGGTATCTCTAAATTGAATAGCGACATTTTAGAGGGCGCTACACTTGAAAAAATCTCTTTTATGTAGTGAGCGCCGCCTTCTGTCTGCCCATCACTTCCAACAACTTCCTGGATTCCCAGTGTGCTTTGCGTCTCTTTCCCTGCTGCTTGATGTGATGCAATGCAGTCATTTCTCAAGACTACATATCCCATCATGCATTGCTTCCAGCAAGCAAAGATAATGTTACATTGTTCAGATGTTGTAGTTCAGATGGCAGGCTCCGTGAGAGTGAAATTGCGTCAGTACATTTAGGAAGTACATTCTATGGGCATTAGGGATGCACCGATACTGATACTAGTATTGGTGCCGATACCGAGCATTTGGGCGAGTACTGGGGCGGCGAGTAATGACCCGCCTCTCGGCTTCCTGATTGGCTGGGAAGCCGGCTCCATGCTGATTGGCTGGAAAGCTGGCTTCACGGTCAATCAGTATCGAGCCGGCCGAACAGCCAGCTCGATGCTGATTGGCTAGGAAGCCGGCTTTACAGCCAATCAGCATCAAGCCGGCTTCCCGGCTAATCATGAAGCCGGGAGGCGGGTCATTACTCGCCACCCGGCTTCCTGATCGGCTAGGAAGCTGGCTCAATGCTGATTGGCTGGGAAGCCGGTTTTGCTGGCCAATCACAATCAAGCCAGCCAAACAACACGGAGCCGGCTTTTCCGGCCAATCAGGAAGACTGGTGGCATGTCAATACCCTCCAACCTTCTTTCTGATTGCCCCGGAAGCCAGCTCCATGCCAGCAGAAGCGCTGGTATCAGTACTCGGTATTGGCGGGTACCAAAAGCAAAATATCGGTACTCGATACCGACAAAACGGCATCGGTGCATCCCTAATGGGCATCTTCAAAAAGGAAGTTTACAATCTTCTAGATGGATATGGTTATTAGGTCACTCCTTTATACTTAAGATTGAAGTAGTAAATACAATGAAACAATACATTGGTACATTGTATGTACTCAGTGACACTTGACTATCTGCAAGTGTCATATTATACAGGAGTGGCTACATTGTGACTGCTGCTGTGTAATACAAAGCATTTTTTGGCTGTCATTTGGTATTTTCCATTAAATACAGCAGCAGGGAGAGAGGAACTGGATTTAAAAGATATGTCCTAAACTTATTGTTGATTGTTTTAGGACATATCTCTTACATTCAAAATTCTCAGGTGGTTATAAGAGAAGTGCTCATCTCATGGGTTCTTCTCACTGCATAAACCAGTGACTGTCAGTCACCTGTCAGTCAGGTGTTTAAAGGTTTTGCAAGTCTATGGCAATGCAAAAGCCACTTGAGGCAAGTCACAAAAAAGTCAAAATATACCTTTCAATAAATTCGGAATCATATCAGACTGTCAAGCTGTGACCATCGACACAACCCCAAAACCCGTCATCACAAGCCCTTAATATGTTACCACCCTATCCTTCAAGTTCTCAAATCCTTATTTGTCAGAAAATGAATTTCATAGGCAACATTTCATTTGCTTTCCTTTAGTGCTCATCTTAAGATGAATCACTCAATCCAAGGTAATATGTAATCCGGGTCTATTCAGATAGGAAATCATTTCTCTGTTTTATCTTTTCCATCTGGGAGCTGTGATCACAAACTGGAGGAAGCGCATCCTCTGTAAACTGTAGAATAGCACAGTGTGCTGATTCATCAACAAGAAGATAATAATCAGAGTGGGTGAAAATGCATGACCTAGAGACTCTGCACATTCTGTAGACCACAACCGCTGGAGACGTGCGCAATGTCCAACCGCCCCGCACTTAGGCCACATTAACACTTGTGTGTTCCTTAATGCAGTTCAACTGTAACTCTTCTTTTGCTGAGAATAAACGACATACTAGGGATGCACCGATACCGGAAGTCCCATTAAGGAAGCCATGCGGCATGTAATGACTCGCCACCTGGCTTCCTAATTAGCCGGGAAGCCGGGTGGCGTGTAAAGACTTGCCACCCAGCTTCCTGATTACAGGTGACGAGGGAGCATGGAGCCGACTTCCTGGCAAATCAGGAAGCCGGGCAGCATGTAATGTTTGGGTATCGGGCTAGACATTGGAGCATTTGGGCGAGTAAGGTGTGGGTATGTGGAGTACCTAGCAAGTGGTCATATCATCTCTGGTAGAAGGGACGTTTAGAGACGACAAAGGCTCATTCTACTTTTCAACAAAAAAATCATGCATCTTTTTCTTATCAATTGATAAAAGTATGACCAGTGACAAAATTGTTGGCACTCGTCCAGTTTTGTTAGTCTGCATTTACACATTAGAAAGGGAGACAGGCTAGCAGACATGCTTCTGGGGCCGGTATCGACCCAACACTTTGAACATGGCCTTAATTTCCCAAGGGTGCATTTAGAAACCAAAGCATAGGTAAATATCAACACACACTGGTAAATAATAGTTTTGAAAAGTTTAATAACTTCTATAACAAGAACACTTCCATAATGCTTTAAATTTATTCTTGTGTTCCAGGTTCCTAATAGTGTTGGGGTGTCTGATCCTGGCGATTCTAACAACGTTTAAGGAGTATGAAGATATTTCTGGTGACTGGCTGTTGCTTATAGTAAGTATGAGGCTTGCACATCTCCCTGACTTTCTTAGGCTAGCCATTACATTGCTCCCTCAGGTGAACAATAGAAGGGTACAGAACATGGGTAGGAGGCATACCATACTGCGAGTTTTGGAACTGAAGTCAGTGTATGAATGCTTGACGTCTCCTAGGGAGGCCAGGCAGAGATATCTTATCCTGGCAACTTACAACAGAGCCTGATTTTACAATTCCTGTACAATCTCCTCTAGATTTACCAAGAACTGTGTACTGTAAGCGCCTACAAATGCAATCCATTTAATTTACTTTATAACCAGATATGCCCTCATGCTACATGGTTGTTGGTAAATATAAACAAGATTTGTAATTTGTGAAAAGCCTGAAGGGGTGCAAATTTTACCCCTTTTTTTCACCTATACATCCTTCATAATTCATGGAAGCTTGCATTGCTAAACACTCTATTTGAGCACCGGTTTTGGAGCTTCAATGCTTTGTGAGTGACTGACCCGGAAAAAAATATAACAATATGGAATTTTGGTGCCATTTTGACACTTGTTTACGGCATGCCTCTTCATAGCCAAGTAAAAGAACTTAGGTAAGGAACAGCCTGGCAAGGAGAATTGTCTTAAGAAGGCTAAAAGTGGCTTCTCTTGTGACTGTGTCTATAAAAATGTTGAGCTGTAAGGTTTCAGACAATTGTCCATGAAAACAATTACCTTAGTTTGGTAGACCAGAGCTCAAGTAATATGCTTGGTAGGTCAAATGTATAGCAGTGCCTCTGAACTTATGGGCATTACACACCACCAGCATGAGACCCCTAGGTACAAAGAATAGTCAATAGCATTGAGTGTATCAATCTGCCTAAACCGATATGAGACGCGGGTTGGGTAGATTCACAAGCAGCCACATATCTGTGATGTTTGCCTGCAACAACGATTCCCTCACAACCCAATGTGGGTCCATTACCAGGTCACTTCCTCATTGGAAGAGCCAGCAGTCCATCTTGGACTCAAGGTCGCTGACCCACACTCCAGAACTGAGAGGACAATTATTTCAATGATGGTGGTGACACATCACCATTAGGTCATTTACCAGATGTAGATGATAAAACTGTCCTAATAAAGCAGGCAAAGGGTCCCATTTCCAGTCCACTTCTGCACCCCCCATCCCACACTATAGAGAGTCTGAGGGAACCAATAGTCATCTTCTGTTATTCCAATCATGGGCCAGTTTTATTATCCTTATTGGGTAACTGGCATTATGGTGATGTATGGAGATTAAAACATAAAAGTTCCAGTCCACTTATCAAAGTTAAGAATAAAATGTTATTTGCAATCATGTTGGAGGCTTTGTAGCTCACTCTACGGCCTTCAATGTGACTATTGTTAATTACCCGTACTTCTGGTACCACTAGAGAATGAGTTACCAGCACACTGTCAATCCTTCCAAAAGGCCTCTATTGACGTTACTTGTTCATCATATCATAAAAATAAGAGCGATGCAGAGTCCCTTCATCAGGCAAATCTCTTATTCTGGACTTTATAAGTGGAGTGGTGGTTCTTTGCCTTATGCTGTATTAATGTTTCCCTAAGGACCATCCACAAAAGTCCTAAAAAAATAAAGTTTCCAGTCTACTTCAACATAAAAACTCATATATTGAGTAATCCAGCCCTTCTCACCACTTGAAAAATGATAACGATGCATCATCCTTATTATCGAAATTACAGATGATGGTTCCCTCAGACTCTGGATGATACCTGATATGGATGATTAATCTGCCCCAACATTGGAATAACAGAAGATGCTCATAGGTTCCTTCAGACTTGTGTCATGGGGGATGCAGAAGGGAACTCGAAATGGTCCCCTTTGCCTGCTCACTTCAAGGCCAGCTTTCTTTTGGCAATTGCAAATAAAATTTTATTCTGGCATTTATAAATGGAGTGGCGCTAACTTCAAGGCCAGCTGATCTGTGAATGGTCAGCTCTACAAAACCATTGTGGTGAAATTTGGCAGTTCGCTGATAGCGCCACATACATATATACGCATATACACATAGAAAAAACATATTTGTATCTACATGGCAGGTGTAGAGGTAGGTTGTGATTGGTTGCTATTGCAAAAAATGTCAAACAGAGCAAGCAAGGTATCTGCAGCAGTGTCGATTGTTTTATGGCTTTGATAGAAACTGTTGGTGACTGGATGGAACCGTTAAGTTGCTTTTTAAATTAAAAAGTGGTTGAAAGTCTTCGATATTGCCTAAAAATGACCCAGTACGGCTTGCATGGTTTTTCTCAGGGAGGGCATCATTCATAAAATAGTGTTACACTGCCATCTAGTGGTGAAACTATATACAGCCATCTGTCCATGCATTTCAGTAATAATTACTCCTTTTTTTATCTGTTCAAGTTGATTTTTTTTTCATTAATATGTAATCATAGTGATCTTTTCTAATATTCAGAATGTTTTTCAAACTTATTTTTAATATATTTTTTGTGCTGCTGTGTCTACATGTATTTGTAAGGAAAAACACTGCAAGTATGAATTGAAAAGGTCTCCAAGGCGTTGTCCTCACCTATGAATATAAGTGGGACCTCTGTGTTGCAGCTCTACGTTCTCCCATGTGTTGATGCTCACAGGCACCAGAGGCTGCAAACTACCTAAGGCACCGATCAGAATGTTAAGAAAGAAAGCAATTTTTTGTATGGTAGATATTTTTTAAAGCTAGCCAGAAAAAAAGTCACCACCTGGATTTCGGGCAGTGTTATTATCAGGGGTTGCTTCAATTGGTCAGGTCTAGGCTCAGCAATGTCATGGGCCCAAAAAATGAGGTCGGATGCCTACCTGAATATACTGAATGGCCAGGTTTTTCCATCAATGGATTTTTTCTTCCCTGATGGCACATTGGACATATTCCAAGATGACAATGCCAAGATTAATGGGCTCAAATTGTGAAAGAGTGGTTCAGGATTGGATTGGCCACCACAGAGGTCTGACTCTCCCATCATCACTACAAGATCTTGGTGAAGTAGTAATGCAACTTTGGATGGAAATAAATGTTGTAACTTAGCATAAGCTTATCGAAATTATGCCACGGCGAATGCGTGCCGTAATCAAAGCTAAGGCGGTCCAATGAAATATTAGTGTGTGCCTTTTTTTGGGCCAGGCAGTGTATATGGCAATTGGATAAATTGATTGGATTTTCAATTCTTTCTGTTGTCGATAAGCAATTAAATATATGAAGTGGTGGCCTTCATCGAACATTAGGAGCTGGTTTTGAAATTACGCTGCAGAAGAAAAATCCAATTGCTTTCTATGAGAATGCTGTTTTCTTTCCCCCTTTCCTATTCCATTGCAATATGATCGCAGTTTTCCTTAAAGGAGAACTATGGGGTTAGGGCTTTCCCCATAGTTCTCCTAAGGGTAACGGGAGAACACAAACTAGCATCCTTTCGTCACCCTAAGCTCAGTATACCGCGAGCTACAGCTATACTGAGACGTCGCAGCCGGGACCGATCCCGACATTATTGTCGAGATCCACCCAGCAGCGGGATTGGCAGCTGGCTCTGCCTATCTAGAGGCAGAGCCAATTGTACCCGCCCCCTCCCCCATCCGTTCAGCTAGTCAGCGCTGGAGGATCGGACAGGGGAGGGGGGGAATCCCTGCAGGGTGCCGTAAGGGACAGTCACGGCTATCTGCAGGGATAGATAGAGAAGTTAGCAAACGCCGGTATGTGTTCGCTCACTTTTTGATCTATTGAGCCGACCTGTGACAGTTTCATTGTCACAGGTCGGCTAGAACTATGAGGCAGAGTAATTTTCACTCGCCTCATAGCTCTCCTTTAACCTCTCATGCAATAAAATGTATGAAAGGTTTAATTACAACAACATTTCTGGTGAATTGAATTCATTTGAACAATGCAGGCCCAGTTTCGACTTCTCAGTTGACCCAAATTTGGTGGTCAATGGAACTCACATGCAACTCAGGTTGCTTCTGGTTATGTATGACTTGATTGAAAATTGCCACTTGTGGCCCACATAGGAGATGCTCTTTGCTCTGTGTTAATAATCAGTAAAGGAGAAGTCCACCTAAAATTGGTGATGCCATTGTTGAGGTATCCCTACCGTAGTTCTTGCTCTGCTTCTCCCGGTGTTCCTGCCAACGTTTAAGTGTTCCCATTCCAATATTTTCAGTAATTTCAAATGAAAAATGAACAAACAGAGTGAGAACTCATCATAATTGCTGCAGCTAATGTGCAGCCCTGAAACCCAAGTTCAGAGATTTCTCCACTGGAGCCCAAACATTAGTTTTAGTTCCCCGGGATCTGCCAAATGCTGAATTATTTGTCTAGGCTGGAAGGACCCGTTAAACCTGAGAATGCATTTATTGTGAAATGTGAAATGTGCTTGCACAGTAATCCTATTGCTTGTTTTTATCTTACAGGAAAGGTTTGCCCTGGTGATTTTTGGAGCAGAATTTGTCTTAAGAATTTGGGCAGCTGGCTGCTGCTGTCGTTATAAGGGTTGGAGGGGGAGACTGAAGTTTGCCAGAAAGCCATTATGCATGCTGGGTAAGCTTGATTGTTTATTTCATTCATAGGGGTGGGCATTTCAGTTGTCCATCTTTGCTGCTTAAAGGGGTTCTAAACCCTCCTGTTTTTTCGAGAAGATGTAGAACCGGACAGGCACTGCCAAGGACAGCTACTGCCAGGTTCCCAGCAGGCTGCATGAAGTTCTCCAAAGCGAGGTAACTCATGCAGCCGCTGTAGTTTAAACATTTTAAAGGGCCGGTATTGGCTTTAAGAATTGGGGCATTTTCAGGAGTACAAGTACAAGTACTTGTGAAAATTCTCTGTCTCAGATACTAGTATCGGTATCGGGACATCCCTAAGGGATAATACATACCTTCTCCCTTATGAAGCGATCTTTATTCCAGCATGATCCCAACCTGGATCATCTTCATACTGAGCATGTGCACCATGGCCAGATTCCTTCCAATGGCCATCAGCAGTAAGCCATTCTCATGATGACCTCCAGCAGTCCCTTGGAGTATGGCTTACCTGTAGGAGTGAATGTGGCCTTGGCTTGCTAACCTTTATTTATTTTCCACTTTTTTACCATGGTATATAAATAGTTGTGTTATTGTTGTTATTATTGTTATTATTATTATTGTCATACATGATTTATATAGCGCTAACAGTTTGCACAGTGCTATACAAAATGGTGGGAGACACTACAGTTATAATACAGTTTCAATACAGGAGGTTTAGGAGGGCATTCACCCACTGCTGCTGTAGAAAAGCCCTCGGGTAGCCATTCTGCCCATATCGAGCCATCATCAGCAAACGCGTCCCGAGGTAGGGTGACACCCGGTGCCGGGTGACACCCAGCAGTGACGTCATCGTGCATGCGCTTACCAATTATAGAACCCTCAAAGACACTTACAATTGTGTAAAAATATCATATTTTATTAAAGACCTTAAAAATACAAAACATAATAACATATGTCTGTGAAGGTCCTATAATTGCCTAAAAAGCCCTTCATGACTTCCAGCCCTTAGCCTTTTGGCTTCAGAACTGTCTCTTTTGTCTACAGAGTGCTGAAAGGTGTCCCTCTTTCACATCTCAGAAGCTTGGGAGGCATGCTCTTCTAATATTATCATGAAAGCACTTCTTTAACTGAAGGACCCCTCGGTGTTCATTTTACCTTGTGGAGCGCAAGTAAGCGGTCATTTTTACTAAAGTGAATAAGCCACTTCTGTTCTTTTGCAGATATTTTTGTCCTGGTGGCCTCCATTCCTGTGGTGGCCGTGGGGAACAATCAGGGAAATGTCTTGGCCACGTCGCTTCGGAGCTTGCGTTTCCTTCAGATCCTGCGGATGCTGCGAATGGACCGGAGAGGAGGGACCTGGAAACTCCTGGGGTCAGCCATCTGTTCACATAGCAAGGTAAGTGCTGCAAGGTCAACAAGCTGGTATGGTGTATTCACGGGTGGAATTGGCCGTAGTTGGGATGTGCATACTGAAACTGGTGAAAGATGGCTCATACATAGTTGGTCAAGCTTGGCGACATCTGAATCCCTGTAGAGTACATGGAGGTCTGATGATCCATGATGCACACTGACATTTCTAAATAAACGGTCCAGTTGGCAATGTAGGATTTTGGCAAGGGCGTTTCCCATGTATTCTGTTACTTGATTGGATAACTTTTCCTTTGTGGGTGGTTCTAGCAGGTTTTATATTTTCTGCAAATAATCTTCCTTTATGTATACAGTTGCATACACTTTATGGTTTCATAATTCTATATAAAATGTTGAATTTGATATTTTTATATTTATCAATGGAAGCCAGCTGGTAGAGAGTTTTTATTTTTTAAGTGAACAAATGAAAATGAAGGAAAAATGAAATATGAATTATAAAAAAATATAGAAATTGAAATTGTCAGTGAAAGATTAGCAAAGGGAAAGACGTTAATTAGGGATGATTAGGAGATATTCTTTATTATCCTTGTGACATTATAATGGCGTCTTCTTTAGAAGGACCCTTAGGTGCAGCCAATGGGAGGGGCTGTCAGGGGCACCCTGTGTGTCTTCCTGTAGATGTAGTGGGCCCTATCAGAGCTAATATGGGCAGGATTGTTGGTGCATGCATTTTCATCGAAGGGTTGCCACCTTTTCTTCCATCGAAACCCGAACACTCTAGCGACGCATGGACATTTTTTGGTGAGAATGAGTCGTGGCTTATTCATATGTAAACAGTGCCGCCCATTCATATGTAAATATCCACAGTCGAGACTATTTTTAGTGGGTGGCCAGTAGCCCCTTTCTTAATTTTGTCTGCCTGACGTCAAGTGTCTGGGTTTCAGCTGCCATGAAACCCAGACACTGCATTCAAAACCTGGACTGTCCGGGTGAATCCTAGGCAGGTGGCAACCCTAATTCAGTGACCGCGGAGCAGGAAACTCCCCTGTCATGTCTGCAGCATGCTGCGGTACAACAATGGAAAACTGCATTGTTGGTCATCCTGCAGGCTGAATGAAAGAAATCCATAAGTGTGTGGTCAGCTTAAAATACCAGGAGCCTGCCTTAAAGAAGAACGTCACTGAAAATGTTGGTGACTAGTTTGCAGAGTTTGATAAACGCACAGATGATTTTTTGCTAAAAAACAATACTACAAGTGATGGCATTGATTCACAAAAGACCAAAGTTCTTAACGGCTTCTTTTTATGAGGAAGTTCATCAAAAACCTAGACAATGTTGTGACTGTGAATATAGGATACGTCTTTGGAAAAAAATTGGAACAATTAGCACTTCAGTCATGCATATGTAACGTACAACATAGAGTATACAGTGCAGGGGTCAGGACTGTGTAATGTACAACATAGCATATAGAGCGCAGGGGTCAGGACTGTATACAAACAACATAGCATATAGAGCGCAGGTTTAGGATTGTAAAACACACAACATAGCATGTAGAGCGCAGGGGTCAGGACTGTATAACAAACAACATAGCATACAGAGCGCAGGGGTCAGGACTGTATAACAAACAACAAAGCATATAGAGTGCAGGGGTCAGGACTGTATAACAAACAACAAAGCATATAGAGTGCAGGGGTCAGGACTGTATAACAAACAACAAAGCATATAGAGTGCCGGGGTCAGGACTGTTTAACAAACAACATAGCATATAGTTACATAGTATTTGAGGCTGAATAAAGACACAGGTTCATCAAGTTCAACCTTTGTGTGTCTGTGTGTGTTTGTGCGTTCATGTGTGTACACGAGTCCCTGTGTGCTCTTAGTTTTTAGGAGTATCTGTACCCCTGTATGTTATGTTCTCTTAGGACGGTATCCAATTGATTTGTGAATGAATCAATACTCTCAGCTGATACCACTGCAGTAGAGTATTGGGCCTAGCACAGATCCCTGGGGAACGCCACTCTCGACCTTAGACCAATCTGAAAAAGAGCCATTTATCAATACTCTCTGGACACGTTGGTGTAGCCAGTTCTCTATCCATATATACACCATGTCATCTATGCCCATAGATCTCAGCTTGTGTACTAAGCGTTTATGTGGCCCCGTGTCAAATGCTTTTGCAAAATCCAGGTACACCACATCCACTGGCCTTCCTCTATCCAAATCTCTACTCACCCCCTCATAGAATGTTAGTAGGTTGGTCTGACAAGAATGGTCCTTCATAAATCTGTGCTGATTCACTTATTATACCTTTGTCACAAACAAAATCCACTAAATAATCCTTTATCATTCTCTCAAACAGTTTGCATACTATTGATGTTAAACTGACTGGTCTGTAATTCCCAGGTTGACATCTTGAACCTTTTTTCAATATTGGTACTATATATAGCTTTATGCCAATCACTTGGTACCCTTCCATTCAGTATTAGTATAGTCCTTGAAAATGAGGAATAACAGTCTTGTTATAACATGGCTTAGCTCTTTAAGTACTCTGGGGTGCAAGATATCTAGTCCTAACCATTTATTTGCATTGAGTTTTTCAAGTCTTTGTTGAACCAACCACTGTGGTATCTTGCACACTGAGCTACTCACATTCTTATCTCCATTATAGTGCACAGGGGTCAGCACTGTATAACAAACAACACAGTGGATATAGCGCAGGGGTCAGGACTGTATAACAAACAACATAGTGTATACAGTGCACGCGTCAGTACTGTGTAATGCAGCTTAAACAGTGCAGGGTTCAGGACTGTGTAACGTACAACATAGCCTATAGGGTGCAGGGTTCCGGACTTTGTTTAACAAATAACAGAGTATTCAATATAGAGTACATGACGGTGTAACATACTGTATACGGTGCAGGGGCCATAACTGCGCAAAGTACAACATAGCTTAATAACTGAGGGTATCATGGCTGTGTAACGTACAACTTAGCATATATGGGTGCCGGGTTCAGGACTGCATAGCGTACAACACCGTGTATAAAGTGCACAGGTCACAATTGTGTAATGTACAACGCATCTTGTACAGTGCAGGGTTCAGGGCCGTGTAACGTACAACGTTGTGTATAAAGTGCAGGGGTCAGAACTATGTAAAATAGAGAAATTTGCACAGTGTGCAGCAATCAGGAGCTTGTAACATGTAGCCTGTGTGTAGAATGTTTAAGCCCTCACCGGCTTTCTTTTCTTTCAATCCCCAGCGCTGCTCGGGCTCCTCAGTAGACTAAGGAGATGCTGTCCTGCCTCCCGCCATAGAACGGTAGGGCTCCACCAACCAACAGTCTTGGTCAGTGGCATGTTAGTAGGAGCTAGCAGACAGCTAATCAGCTTGGCGAAGGGGAAGCATTGTATGGTGGTGCATTACACACACAGACTGTCACACAGAGGTGCTGGAATGAGCCTTTTAGCACCCAGCACCAGGATATCTCCTGGATCCTTGGAACCCCCTGGTTATGTTCAAATCCTGGGACAGTTTTGCAGGATTCAGGACGGTTGGGGGTATGTATAGGACCTATGCTGTGGTAATCGGTCACATAGATAGGAAATGGGTATCTTCTCAGTGTCAGAAGGCAACCTATTCAGCTAGTTTAAAGGATCTTCAGTCCAGAGAAGGAAAAAAGAGGAAAGTATGGGGAAATGTAAATGTTTATAACAAATTATATAATAATTATATCCCACAGTGCAATTCTCATCCTACAAAATGTTCCCTTGCAGGAACTCATCACGGCCTGGTACATCGGATTCCTGACGCTCATCTTGTCCTCCTTTCTTGTTTACTTGGTGGAGAAAGACGACCATGAACTGAACGAGAAAGGGGAAGCCAAGGAGGATTTTGAAACGTACGCCGATGCCCTTTGGTGGGGATTGGTGAGTTGTGCAGATGAGTTAAAGGGAAACTACCAAGCATGCAGAATTATTTTTATGTTTTCTCTACACTGACAGACCTGTGTGGTAAAGTTGTGTGTAAAAGAGAGTACACCCTCTTTGAATTCTATGGTTTTATGCATCAGGACATAATAAAAATCATCTGTTCCATAACAGGTCTTACAAATAGGTAAATACAAACTCAGATGGACAACAGCACATGGCATAATACACCATATCATTATTTATTATACAAACATAAAGCCAAAACAGAAAAGCCATGTGTGAAAAACTAAGTACACCCTTACTGCTCCCATCGGAAGAGGCTAGTTAGCAGCCAAGTGCTGCTAATCAAATGCCCTTGATTAATTGATCATCAGCAAGTTTTAGCAGCTTGATGGTCTGGAGCATTCAGGTCTGTGTTAACACAATGCCAAGAAGGGAAGACATCAGCAATGGTCTTAGAGAAGCAATTGTATATTGAATGTATACCTTATGCCGTGTCCCATTTAGGAGATTTCTCTTCACATCCTGTCCTACAGACACAAAAGGAAGTGAGAAGAAATCTCTACAAAGAGAGGGCAACTCCTCATAGACAGAAGAGGTTTTCCCATTGGAAGATTCCCCCTCACCTCTTGTTCTAGGGACGACTGTAACTGTTTGTTTAGATATCTGAGCGCTCTCTGTGTCAGTGGTCACCAGGACAAGAAAGGGTAAATCTTCCCAGCGGAGGGGCAGGTGGTATAAAACCTGACAGAGCTTCTAATCCCTCTCCATTTAAAAGAAAAAGTGTTTAGCCCATACATACTTTAAAGATATATATATTAGGGATGCACCGATACCGATACTAGTATCGGTATCGGTGACAATACCGAGTATTTGGGTGAGTACTCGTACTCGCCCAAATGCTCCGATACCAAGCACGAGTACTTCCTGTATCAGGAAGCCGGGCATCATTACACGCTGCCCGGTTTCCTGATTGGGATATCAGTGGTGCTTGTAGTGATGTCCACGGATGGCGCCGTGCATATCCAGAGATAGTAGCAATGAAGATCGCCAGCACTCGCAGGATGAAATACATCCAAATGTTCTTTTTATTGTAGAACCATAGTGTCAGTATGTTTTCCCTGATGAAGGGACCCTGCGTGGTTCCGAAACGTTGGCTATATTACACATGTGACACTATGGTTCTACAATAAAAAGAACGCTTGGATTTATTTCATCCTGCGAGTGCTGATCTTCTTTGCTACTATCGATCACAATATGGTATTTATTAGACATGTGCACCGGCAAAAAAATTGTTTAGTTTTGCTTCGTTTTGATTCACATTTTGCGTTATTTTGTTTTTTGGGATTCGGGTCAGAAACTCAATTTGTTTCTTTGATTAGGATGAAATTCGATAGCAGTAGTCCGTACGAACGTTTGTTTCGTTTTCGTTTCGTGCGTTCATTCGTTGCAGCAAAGTGACATTTGAGAAAATGTAAATTTTGTTCTCAAATGTCATTTTGTTGCAACGAAAGTTTGTCCAACAAACAAAATTTCGTACAGACTACCGCTAACGAATTTTGGAATCGGAAATTCGGATTCGTTTGCATTCGTTACATCTGTAATTCGGATACATCCGAATCGCCGAATTTCTGTAACGAAACGAATCGCACATGTCTAGTATTTATACATTTGGTATTATCTGAAATAATGTAAAGACTGGAAAGTATAATTACCTGGCAGCACTGGGGATCTCTGTTTCGTATCCCGGCCAGAACACTATCTGCATTATGTTTGCTTGTTCTCCTTGTGCTTGCCTCGGTTTCCTCCAGATACAAAATACACGCTGGAATGTAAATTGGCTCCTGTCTAAATTGGCTCTGTATGCATGTGAGATGGGGACCTTAGACTGTAAGCTCCTCGAGGGCGGGGACTGATGTGAATGTGTACCATGTAAGTGCTGCATAAATTGTCAGCGCTATATAAATACCTGTAATAAATAAATAAATTATTATAATTGGTTTGTAGATCACTCTCGCTACAATTGGCTACGGGGACAAGACTCCAAAGACTTGGGAAGGGCGGCTGATTGCGGCTACCTTCTCTTTGATTGGCGTTTCGTTTTTTGCACTTCCTGCTGTAAGTTCTCTCTATGCCGTATCATAAATGTCTGGAAATGATATATTATAACTGTAGGATCAAAATCCGCCTCTTTGGTAGTCATTCCAGCTCAGATGTCATATTTTTGTGTGAGTATGGGGATTTTTTTTCCTTTTTAAAGCAGACCTTTACCCCCTTTAACTAAAAGTCACCTCAGCATGTAGCTCTGCATGCCGATATGAAATCATTTTACATTCATTAGTTAAACAAACATATTTTTCTTTTACTTACAATTGCTGTTTTTCTACTTCCTGGTCCTCTTGGGCATTAGTGATGTCATGTGCCCAAGTGTTGCATCCTGGGAAGGTTACATCAGCAGAGCATTGCTGGGAAATGTCACCAGTAATCTCGCGAGATCTCAGGGAAAGGCATTTTCCTCCCCTAAGACGATGTGCATGGTCACATGTCCTAGTCACATGTGCCGGAGTTCCAGGAAGTAAAGGGAGATGGATTCATCTGTCCTTAGTTAAAATGGCCGCTGTGAGAAGAATGGAGAGGAAAAGAAAAAAAAGGTATGCAGAGAATAAAAAGCCGGCAATGCTCTAGAAGTATGTGTCTGTAGATTGTCATCACTAAGGCTGGGTTCACACCTAGGCGTATTGAATATGCAATTACGCGGTAAAAAAAACGCGCGACAAACGCCCGTTTCCGAGGGCTACTTGGCTGTATCCCAATGGAAACGCGAGACCAAACGCCCCAAAGAAGTACATGTACTTCTTTGGGCGTAGACTGTTTTGTATCGCGTTCGGACGGGCGGAAATATGGCAAGGTGTGAACCAGACCCATTGAATACAATGGGATTTAGATGTTTGAGCGTTTTGTAGAGCGTTCGTCGAGCGTTGAACGCGCTACAAAACGTTCAGGTGTGAACCAGGCCTAAACATTTCTAAAGGTGACTTTGCTGTTATTTCACACATATGGGGAAAGGTCCTCTTTAACTAAATATATTTTTTGCATTTTTTATCTAGTTCTTATTTTCTCCATTTTGGTCTTACGTGCACCTTGTCAAGTCACTAAGGCTACAAATGCAATAAATCTGTAATCATGAATGCATCATTGAATACATTTATTTTCAAGTTCAAGCAGTGCAAGTATCTAAATGTGACCTAGTATTAGTTCCTTGCAATATCCTGTACAGCAGAGCTCACACTTGGAAAGGGAGAATAAGCACAAGCAGCCACTCAGCTGTGCTGCATGTGTGAACAAGGAAGATGCTGATAGGAGGAGAGATTAGAGTGACTGAACTCATCAATTTGCTGCTTCTCCATTCACTGTCCAGTCACAGGAGAAGGGACAAGACCTGTTCAGCAAAAGAGAAAGATCAGGTATTCTGACCTGCCAGAAAGGGCTGTACTATATGAGAGGCAAGGCTGTCCCTATAATGAGGCAGCCTGAGGTAGTTGCCTCATTGGGTCACGTGGTAAGGGGGAGGGGGGCACACTAGATGCCCCCTTTCCAGCCGGAGCCCCCAAGGTTGCTAAGAGCTCTTGGCAATCTGGGGTGCTCTGGCCGGGTCTCACCCAGCTCACTGACGTCACTGGTTACCAGGAGCTGAGTGGGATGCTCTAGCCTGGCCAGCTCCTGGCAGCCTGCGACGTTAGTGAGCTGGGCAGGATTCCGGACAGGACTGGATCCAGAGGTAGGCGCAGCGCAGCCCCCCATTCCCACCACCAGGAATGTGCACCACCAGCACCTTTCAGCCCTCAACCCCCTAATATATATTTTTCTGTGTATTTAGATGTTTGCCTGTAAGAAATACACAAAGCTCACCAAGATCCAAGGAAGAATACGCATGCCTCTTGTATGTAGACTAGGGATGTACCAATACCAGTTCAGATACCAGTGCCGATACTTGGCATTTTCATGAGAACTACCAGGGTTGCAGCGGTTGCAGCTGGGACCGGGCTCTGGCGCTCCACCACTGTCCTGCAATCATTAGTCAGATACAAGTCTGATACAAAAATGTATCAGTACTTGTATCTGTGAGGACTTGGGCGAGTATCAGTACTTGTACTTGGAAAACTGGTATTGGTGCATCCCTTTATTTATATTTATAAAAAGAAAATCGTACATTAAAACAAAGATGTGCAAATCCCAGGAGCTCCGTGTGCTCCTTACAAATGACAGCGGCCTCCTAACTTTTGAATTTTTCTCTAGTCTAGTCCTGGAGCTGGAAAAGTATCGGTACTTGTACTTGTACCGAGTATGGTACTTGGTATCGGTGCATCCCTAATGTGGACAATACTTGCCTATCCCAGAGCTCAGCTTCAATAGCTCAGGGAAATGTATTATATATTTTATAATAGAAGTGAAGACTTTTTTCCTCTTGAGCTGTTTGTATACAGCGCTGCTCTATGGGAAATATATCGGCCAGTTATTGAAAAGGAAAATAACCAATATGCTTTTAGATGTGCGCATTTTGGCAGAAAACGTTTCATTTTTTTGGCCCTTCTGGACAATGTCAAGAATAACTTTTTGTGTCTTTTTTTTCAGGGTATTTTGGGTTCCGGTTTGGCTCTTAAGGTACAAGAACAACATCGACAAAAACATTTTGAGAAGCGAAGGAAACCAGCAGCCGAGCTCATCCAGGTTAGATATCTCTTTGGTGTGACGGAGATCTATAATGCTGATGAGTAAAAGAGTGAGGAAGAATGTTTGGGCTCCACATATTGACCAATCAGATTTCAGATGTTCGTGTTGTAGTGCGGGATGGAAAGCTGGTTTCTCTACTATATTAGTTGAAGCTTTTCTTGAAATCCAGGCCTGGATTTTGCCTGCAAGTAGCCCCAGGCATTGCTCTCTACAAGGGCCCCTGGGCATTCTTCCCTGCCACGGCAATCACCTCACTCCCCTCCTCCTCACTTAAGCTGTCCATACATCTATCAATTGTTTTTGTTGAACCCGCGAGCTGAATCAAACAAACTGACCTGTTTCCTCCATCAACACAAACAGGGTGTCGATCGAGGAATCGCCGCTGTTTACATTGCACTCTGACAGGTGGCGCCGGAACCTGTCAATACATGATGAGAGCGGGCAGCTCATTGGCTGCCGACTCTGATCGCACAGAGATTTTCCGGCTCCTTCCATCAGCTGATCGAGGAATGCCGGCTGAAAGGGAGCCGACAGCCCCACACACTGTGCAAATTTCAACCAGTACATTAAAAACCGTCCGAATTTCGGCCAATGTATGGGCAGCTTTACAAACTGAAATACTGATATTAGTTATTGGCCACATAGGAGGTGTATTGTTTTGAATTAGTTGAATGAATTGTAGATTTACATTGCAAGAGGGATCAGTAAGGGCTCATTCAGACAGGCGTCCACTGTCTGCGTCCAAGTATGGGCACTTGGACCTGTACATATGTGCAGGTTCAGGTGTGCGTGTGACCGCGTGTAATTACATCCTCTCATAGGGAACAACAGGCTACTGCACACAATTACACGCAGCCACTGTCCCTTCAGGGATCGGGTCTTTTTATGGACCTGTCTTTAGAGCCCTAAAGCACAACCATTGTGTGGTGCTGCAAAGTAGGGGACTGAGCCTGTGTATGGAATGAACCAATATGGCTGCCCCCAACTTAACTTCATATATTATTACAATCTAGGCATAGAAAAAAATGTTTGTAAAACATTAACACTCACTGATAAGATTTACATTTAACTGATCACTTTCACATGCAAATCTATGAAACATTATTAGTCCACTTATTAGATCATGTTTCACGGTATGTCCATTTTTAGGGTGTAATATAATGTAAAGCATGGTTACCCCACCCACAAGGAGCATCCCCCCCCCCTTACCTGAATCTTGGGGTGTTCTTTTACTGTGTAGATGGTAGCTATTGTTTGAATTCAGCATGACTGTATGTGGCTCTGCACGTACAGCATCATCCATGGACAAGAATCCATCTATGAAAATACTACAAGTCCCATCTGCCAGAGTGGGAGAGGGACCGAGCAGAGTAGTCCATTCTGCACTTCCTCCAGCCCTATAACAGAAGGTCCATACCTCCATACAGATCTGGGGCTGGGGGTAAATAATGCAAGAGGCTGCACCTTGCAAAAATGTAGTAATGCACTTTTTTTTTTATTGTGTCAGTGTTGGCGCTATAAAATGTAATGCAAAAGGTGGACTATGCCTTTAAGCACGCTCTACATACCTTTTAACTAGGGATCAATACTGTTTTTTCGATGCCGGAAGTCCCATTAAGGAAGCTGGGTGGCGTGTAATAATCCGCCGCCCGGCTTCCTGATTACAGGGGGCGAGTCATTACCTGCCCCCCGGCTTCCTGATTAGCCAGGAAGCATGCTCCATGGTGACGAAGGAGCATGGAGCTGGCTTCCCAGCCAATCAGAAAACCGGGCGGCGTGTAATGACTCGCTGCCCGGCTTCCTGATACCAGAAGTTCCGGTATTGGGATAAGTATTGGGAGCAACCAAATACTCGGTATCGGCACCGATAATGATACTAGTATTGGTATTGGTGCATCCCTACTTTGTAGTGCCCCAAGAATTCTAAGTACCCCACAAAATTCTCACCTATGTATATCATATATTACAGCTTAAAGTAGTATGTTTGTCTCACTTTGTTTCTTTTGCGTCACTTTAGTCTGCATGGAGATTTTACGCTACAAACTTGAGCCGGCTCGATCTTATAGCCACATGGCAGCACTACGAATCTATCGTCCAGTTTCCATATTTTAGGTAAGTAGAAGAGTCCATATCTCTCACCCTTTCTATAATGTCTACCTAAAGCATTTGTGTGGCTTCTTCCCTCAACCAGCAGTTTGCTACTTTCTCATTGTTAGTTTCACTGGTTTCCCATATTTTTTAAAAGTAACCGGGAGGGGCGAGTGCAGTATTTAGGCTCTGGCTGGCTATTGCGTCCTTTGGTTTCACGCAGGGGGAGGATCACGCAAACAAACAAAAGAACACTGCGTATGTCCAACACTGCCAGCCAGGGCCATAGCTACAGATCATGGGGCGCCATAGCAAAAATGTTATGGTCCCCCCCTTTATGACCTCTCTCTGAGCTGTGAGTAACAATGCCAAGATCCCAAAGACTCCTCTTGTGCATCTGAAGTCGTCTCTACACTGCAACCACACCAACCCTTAATGATACAGGATTGCATTATCATCACATTTTCTTGGTTTAACTTGCCTCAACAACCTAATGGGGACCCCTTCCACCCCCTGGCCCCATAGCAGCCACCTGGGCTGCTATGGCAAATGTCTATAGTTACGTCACTGCTGCTAGTTTTGAGTGCATAGAAACACATACAAGCCGATAGAGACTATTTCCACTATGGTCCCATATGTATCTGACACTAACTGTGTCATATATGAACTGGCATTGGGCCTACGTGTAGGACAACTGTTCATTAACTGCCTTTCAAAATTTAAAGTGGTGGGTGGGCCTTTATAAGGAGGGGGTGGGGCTTTGTATAAGCAATACCCTGCCCAGGCATTTATATCTGGTCACTTGACATTGTTTGAATGGTAAGGAATCTTTCCCCGCTACAGCAGCTACACCATTCATGTGTCAGTCGTTGCAGCAGCCTTATGGACACTTCTGATTCATGCGGTTGTAATATTTTTCCATAAGCCTGTTCCATGTACACATTCAAGTGCCTGCTTGCCTCTGTAGCACGCCTTCTCATGGGACGATGTGGAACGACCCCCTAAGTAGTGTAGCAGGCTAACATTTCATCTCAGGGTCTGGTTGTTTGTGTATGTGTGGCGCACCCCCTAAGGAGCCGCAGGGAAAAGGTGGGTCATCCATTATAGCCATGTCTAGGGGATCCAAGTTCTGACTACCCCAATAGCATTAACCACCCTGTACTTGTTACTGAGAGAGCAGAGGTATGATGCCGAAGAACTTTTATTAGAACACATGAACTGGGAGAGAGGGTTTAGGACATCAATGAGAAAAATACGGAACAGAACTCCAGATTCACCAGTCCCTTTCAGTATTCCACAGCTCAGGATTAATAGGAGCACAGGCTGACACTGAGTATTTGAGCAACAGCTGAAGAGGGATGGGTGTGAGATCTTCAATAGGAGAGACACCAGGCTTGCTCCTGAGGTCCATTCCAGGCACCTCCAGCAGCCACCAGCCATCAGCTTCCCTGGTTCTCCTCTGTCAGTAGCAAAGGCCTCCTCTAAGCTTGAGGCCTAGCAAAGCATTTCCCGCATTTGAGCATTTCCACCCCCAAACCTAGCCTGGGGTCAGGTTGGACCAGCACTAACACGTGGCTGGAACCAGACTGAGCACATGGCAATTCCCTTCAATATATATTTGCCCTGTCCCAGCATGCACCACTTGCCATGAGAGCCCCAGTGATTGGCTGATGGACGGCACATACACTCACAGTGGCCCCCATTGGATGTCCCACACTGCAGCAGTCACATTCCACTCAGGCAGGTACAAGCAATGCCAGACACCGGAAATTAACCAGATAAATGCCAACTATAATTCAGCCAGACTGACTACAGCTCTGGCAATCACTAAATGTCTAGTAGCCATTACACAAAAGGTGGTGGTGGCTACATGTGGATGAGAGAAAATTAAGTTCAGCACCAGTCACTGTAGACTTTTTACCTTTTTTTTTGTGGAACTCAATAACCACGGGAGAGGATTTTAGGGATGCAGGATACTAAAAAAAAAGCACAAAAATGGGACAGGTGTTCTGCAGTAGCAGTAGTGGTAGGCTCTTTGGGCCTTAGGGCCAATTTAAAGGAAAAGTACAGAGGTTTTGTATATATTTTATTATTCTTTTATATGGTCAGGACTACAGAAGGACTATTGCCTATTTGTATTCTGTATTTCCATTTCCAGGAGCTTTAGGCTCTCTTTCACATTTGAAATTTAGCGACCTCTCCCACCAAGGTTTAAATCGGACAGAGACAGACATCTGATGATGATGATTTTTTCCAGTTAACTGTGCTCTGGGAATCCTGCATCATGTAAGAATTGTTGAACAAAGATTGTGTTTGTGTGTGATAAGAATTTTGCACTCAGACTGGCAAAAAGAGCCTTACTACCTAGATGGTCCTGGTGTCAGTCCCGTATCTTCATCCATAAAGAAAAATGATATCCGACATTTAAAATTCATATTGTATTCCTGTAATAAAGTCACGGACCGTGGACACATCTGTGCACTAGGATCCTTCCATTGGCATGGCATGTTCCTCTGATGAAGTTATGTACCATGGATGGAATGGGGAGGAATGATCTGCAGTCAGATAACATGTGCCATGGACGGGATGAAGGGGAGTGCTCTGCAGTCAGATAACATACATCATGGATGGGAAGAGGAGGAGTGCTCTGCAGTCAGATAACATGTGCCATGGACGGGAAGAGGAGGAGTGCTCTGCAGTCAGAGAACATGTACAATGTATGGGATGAGGAGGAATGCTATGTAGTCAGAGAACATGTACCATGGACGGGAAGAGGAGGAATGCTCTGTAGTCAGATAACATGTACCATGGAAGGGAAGAGGAGCGTTCTGCAGTCAGATAACATGTACCATGGATGGGAAGAGGAGGAATGCTCTGCAGTCAGATAACATGTACCATGGACGGGAAGAGGAGGAATGCTCTGTAGTCAGATAACATGTACCATGGAAGGGAAGAGGAGGAATGAACTGCAGTTCTCAGGAATGCAGGAGCAGAACTGCTGTACCCGGGGGAGCCCCCCC